GTACAGAGGGCAAACGAGACGTTACAAGACTTTGCAGCTGAGGTGGAACGTTTGGTGCTAATGGCGTATCCAGGAGAGAATCACCCATTGCTGGACCGTATGAAAATCGAAACCTTTGTGAATGGCATACGTGACCCTGAGATTAAATGTGCAACATATGCGTCACCAAAAGCGTCATTTGCCGAAACTGTGTCGTTTGCCCTTGCCCAAGAGACGGCAAGAATAATTGTTAAGCCCCAGACCCACAAGATTCGCCAACTGGAGACCGAAGGTTGCGAACCCAAATCTCTCGTTAACTCGATCAAGGACGCCATGAGGCAGGTAATAGAAGAAACAAAGTTAGTAGGGATGACTAAGCCCAGGGTTAGATGCTACAACTGCGATAAAGCAGGTCATATTGCGCGCGAATGCAGAGCTAAGCGCAAACGATCCAGGTCATCGTCACCACCTCCAACGAAAGATGGTAGAAGAATGGCTCAACAGTCCACCAATGAGTCACCGTTAAACTAAATCGAGCCAGTCCAGCGGGGCATGAACTGGCTCCCATCGACGATGGCCCCACAATCTCCATAGCAATAGTACAACAGAAAAGTCACAACCTAACAACAACTGGGTACATCAATGGTGACAAGCGAGTTCTGACGTTAGATACTGGCGCATCAAAGTCCATCATAAGATCAGATCTGGTAAAGGGAAAAATAACGCAACTTAATGGAGTCAGACTGCGCACAGCAACGGGGGAGCCCGCGGCAGTACACGGCAAGATTACCCTGAGACTAACTATTGCCAATAAATCGGTGAATTACGATTTTATAGTTGCCGATATCGTAGACGAAGTGATAATAGGCGCAGATTTTATGATTGCCTTCGGTATCAATCTGGATATGAAAGAGCGTGTGATGACCTGGTCTAACGTCGAAATTCCGTTAAACGTGGGCTACGATGAAAGTACACCCATTAGACGTCTGACTACGGACCATCCAGAGATAATACCGCCCTGTGCCGAAGCAATAATATGGGTACCAATGAATGGAGATTGTGGAGCCGAGAAGTTGTGGGTGGTGGAACCAGCAGAAAACAGATACAGTAACATCCTAATAGCGAATGCCCTGGTGAGAAGCAACGAGGACGGATTGATTCCTGTTAGAGTTTTGAACCTGTCAAACAAGCAAGAGCAAATTTGCCAATTTTCCGATGTTGGACAATGCACACCAGCTGAAGCTGTAATTAATTTGGAAACTAGCACCGAAAAGCCAGCAGCCATGGAGAAGAAGCACCTCGACGGCTACATAAAAGAGTGGACACACCAATTATCACCTTCCGAGAGGAACAAGGCTAAGCAGCTATTATGGAAATATGCCTCTACCTTTGCGTTGACAAAAGAGCACCAAGGAAGAACATCAGTGGTGAAGCATGAAATCAATACAGCAGACGCGAGACCCATTAAACAGCCTCCAAGAAGTGTTCCCCTGGCAAAAAGGGACGAGGTCCAGAAGCTGATAAGTGAAATGGAAAAGAGTGGTGTAATAGAACCATCGTCAAGTCCATGGTGCTCCCCAGTGGTTTTGGTCAAGAAGAAAGACGGAAGCACCCGATTTTGTGTGGACTACCGAAAGTTGAATGATGTCACCAAGAAAGACAGCTATCCGCTCCCAAGAATCGACGACACATTGGACACATTAGCCGGGACGTCATGGTTCTCCACCCTCGACCTGCAGAGTGGGTACTGGCAAGTAGAGATCGCCGAGAAAGATAAGGAGAAAACAGCGTTTGGCGTTAATGGGGGTCTCTGGCAGTTCAATGTCATGCCATTCGGACTCTGCAACGCCCCGGCTACATTTGAAAGGCTGATGGAGCGTGTGTTAAAAGGGCTGCAGTGGAAGTCATGCCTCATATACCTGGATGACATCATAGTCATGGGACGCAACTTCGACGAACACATCAAGAATTTAAAGGATGTTCTTCAGCAGCTTTCGTCTTCAGGCCTCAAGCTGAACCCAAAGAAGTGCAGTCTCTTCCAACGAGAGGTGAAGTTCCTGGGGCATCACGTGACGCCGGAGGGCATATCGACGGATAAGGAGAAAATTCAAGCCGTCAGAGATTGGCCGCAGCCCCGAAATCTCCATGAGCTGCGAAGCTTTCTGGGTCTCTGCACCTACTACCGTCGATTTGTCCCAAATTTTGCCAACATCGCCGCCTGTCTACACCGCTTAACGCAAAAAGGCCAGAGGTTCCAGTGGGGCAACGACCAAGAAGAGGCGTTCAGTAAACTCAAAGACATGCTATGCAGAGCCCCCATTTTGGCATACCCTATACCTGGCGGAAAGTTTGCTCTGGACACAGACGCAAGTGCGTGCGGCATTGGTGGCGTCCTTTCCTAGGAAATCGACGGACAGGAAAAAGTCATCGGGTACTACAGCCGGACATTGTCGAAGCCTGAGAGGAATTACTGTGTGACGAGGAGAGAGCTGCTTGCTGCCCTTGAGAGCGTTAAACACTTCCACAAATACCTATATGGCCAGCATTTCCTGCTGAGGACCGACCACGCTGCTCTCCAATGGTTGCTGCGGTTTAAGAATCCGGAAGGTCAACTAGCCCGTTGGATCGAGAGGCTCCAGAGTTATGATTTCAGAATCGAGCACAGAAAAGGCGGAAAACACGGTAATGCTGATGCCCTGTCTCGTCGGCCATGCAAGGTGGAATGCAGGCATTGCTCAAAGGCTGAGAATAAGGAGAATATCGTTGATGTCCGACTATTGCAGTTTGAGTCGGGTGAAGATTGGTCGACGGAACAACGAAGAGATCCCATTCTGGGCAAAGTAATTTCGGCCATTGAAACGGGCAAGCGACCTAGTCGTAAAGAAATTACCTCCGAAAGCCCTCTTTTAAAATCCTATTGGGCCCAGTGGGACAGTCTACTTATAAAAGATGGCTGCCTATATCGCAAATGGGAAAGTGAGGACGGTAAATCTCACCGGAACTTGATCGTCGTCCCAGACTCCAAAATAAGAGATGTCTTGTCGGAGTTTCACGATGGGCCAAGTGGAGGACATCTTGGCATAGCAAAGACCGCTGAAAAGGTAAAGCAGAGATTCTACTGGGTCGGCTGTCAAAAATCCATTGCCGACTGGATCGCCAATTGTGAAAGGTGCATAAAAGCTAAAGGTCCAACACGGAAGAGTCGAGGCTACATGCAGCAGTATAATTCAGGAGCCCCTTTTGAAAGAATCGCAATGGATGTAGCTGGACCGTTCCCCATAAGCGACTCTGGGAACCGGTATGTCTTAGTGGTCATGGATTACTTCAGTAAATGGCCGGAGGTTTATGCTATCCCAAATCAAGAAGCCAGGACAATTGTGGATGTGTTCAGCAAAAATTGGATTTGTCGCTATGGTGTTCCATCTGAGGTTCATTCCGATCAAGGTAGGAATTTTGAATCAGCGATCTTCAAGGAAATGTGTGACTCCTACGGAATTAAGAAAACCAGAACGACGCCCCTACATCCACAATCAGATGGCATGGTGGAAAGATTCAATCGCACCCTTGAAGAACATCTACGGAAAGTGGTGGACAGTGGCCAACGAGACTGGGATGAGCATATTCCAAAGTTTTTACTGGCTTATAGATCGGCCATTCATGATTCCACATCCCGGACTCCAGCCAAAGTTCTGTTCGGAAATGAATTAAAGCTACCTGGCGATTTGATATTCGGTGCTACCCCAAACCACGATGTGAACCAAGAAGAAGACAGTCAGAACTCTTTTAGTAAAGTCCACGATGCTGTTCGCCATCGAATAAAATTGGTTAGCAACCGCATGAAGGCAAGGTACGATCGAGCGGCAAATACCGATGGGTTCCAAGAAGGGCAACTGGTACTATTGTTCAACCCACAACGAAAGAAAGGACTTTGCCCCAAATTGCAGACGCACTGGGAAGGACCCTACAAGATTGTCACGAAAATAAATGACGTCGTTTATCGCATCCAGAGGAGTGGCAGTCCCAGATCGAAGATGAAAGTTGTACATTTGGAGCGGCTGGCCCCCTACGGAACGGGAACTGTGCCTATTCGGGACGAACAGGCTTAAGCGGGGGGCAATGTTACGAATATAACTATAGATTTAAGTTAATTTAGATGAATTCCGTTAATTTAAGAATTTGAATTGTAACGTAAATTTCTACTACGCAGTTTATTTGAATAACTTCACAACAACAACCACTGCATAGATTTTTCTACATCCTTCCATTTCCTCTTTCATTTTCTATTTTGTTATTGTCGTACAATTCTTGTTAAACGTCATTCCTCTTTCTTTGTTATTCCCTCGCCTGTATATGTGTTGTTGTTATTCCTCTTTCTTTGTTATTCCCTCGCCTGTATATGTGTTGTTGTTATTGTAAGTTTGTTTACTCAAGTTTGTTGTTGTTATTGTTCACTCAGTAAGTTTGTTGTTGTTATTGTTACTCAATGTGTTTGTTGCATTGGTAGATTGTTCGTGATCTAGGTGTTACCAGATCGTCTAGAAACTTCTGTAGCGACAGGCAGGGCTCATATAAATAGAGGGAATGGAAAGGCAGTGAGTCAGTTGTGAATCAGATCGCGAATTGAAACCGTCGTGTAAAGTGCAAAGTAAAGTTGTGTGAATAAAGTCATTGTAATAATCGTAATCTGAACGAACCCGCGTTTTATTTGGTACGAACTGTATCGGGAAATAAAACAACGTCTACACGGGAATAAGTGAAGTCCAAGAACGTAACAATATGTATTGTCATTGTCCCAGGCGCATTTTCCAAACTGCAATGGCTGTAACTTGGTATTCCGAAACGGATGCAATTAGAAATTACGCTCCGAGTTTAGTTATTTTAATGTTACTAGGCGTATTTTCTTCTTAAAAAAATGATTGGTTAATAAATCTATACAATCGTGTATTTTAATCTATTCATTATGAAATAGTCCACATAAATAGGCATTTATTATTTAAATAGGTTTATCATATTTATAAAATAATTATTTTTTGTCCTTAGCATGTAATTTTGAGTTGATCATATCCTTAAACTGAGCCAAAATTTTGTTTTCACGCTTCTGACGTTCTTCTTTGCTAAACATGGCCAATGCCCGCTTTTCGTCAGCGGAATAAATTTGATTTTCTTTACGAATACGTACGGCTTCCATGCGACGATGGCGACTGCCACTCATCACATATCCTACCGATTCAAAATTGGCGATTTCCTCAGAAGTTAGACCGATTTCACCACGCCGAGGTATACGTTTACCTTCGGCAATATATGCAGCCATGGCAGCACCTTCACCCGGTAGCAATGCCCGGCCAAAATCTTTCTGATTAAGACTTCCTGTGTGACGCAATGTAGGTCCGAAGTCTTCCTCCTCACTAACATCTGTTTTAGGCTGCGTCTTTGAACTTGGTTTAGCTTCGTTCTTTGTTTCCGATTCTTTGGAAGTTTTCTTATGTTTCTTTGTTTTCTTCTTCTTTTTCTTGGACGCTTTTAACTTCTTCACGGAATCGGCAGTCTTTTCTATCCAAACTTCTTCTTCACTATCGCTGGACGACGAATCACTGTCTGACGATTCACTGGAACTATCGCTAGATGAAGAAGAAGATGAATCGTCCGAAGAGGATTCAGATGATGACGATATATGTTTCTTCTTCATTTTGGACTTCTTCCTCTTTTTGGACTTCTTTTTCTTCGACTTTTTGGATTTGGAAGATTTCTTTTTACCTTTCTTGGACTTTTTCTTCTTCGGTCCTTGATATGTGTGTTCTAATAATTGAACCTCGTCATCTTCATCGTCGGAATATTTTTCCGGGTGAGCAGGGCTTTTGCCCCAAACCTCCTCGGCACCTTTGACGCCAATATTTTCACGTTCTTCTCGTCGTTGTTGTAAATATTTGGGATCCCGTTTAAAGTTCGATTTTTGGCCAAATCCGTGACGAGGTCTTTCTTCGTGGGGCACACTAACCGAAGGTTGTCCTCTAAATGGATTATTAGATCTATCCCTATTGTTTTCACGGTACTTATCGTTAGGCCAACGTTCTGTTGGTTTTGTGGGAGATTTCCTGCTGCTGGTATGGTGACCGTCGTTATTTTCCGAGAAACTAGAATCACGTCGCTTTCTATCATAACTGCTTGCCCTTTTCGGACTTCTTTGGCGAGTTCGGTCTCTACTTCGTTCACGTCTTCGACTATTGGATCTACTTCTGGATCTTCTGTGATTTGTGTCGCTGTTGTGAATCTTTCTTTTGGAAGATCCAGATCTTGAGCGCCTACGTCTGTCGCTCTTATCGCGAGATCTTGAACGTCTACGACGTTCAGCAGGCGATCTCTGTCTACTCCTGGACCTTGTGTGTGACCGCATTGTGGGCACACTTATTTTTATTGTTTTCCGATTCTCCTTTGGAGGAGTACAAACGTTTTGTTTTGTAGTTTCAGAACGGCCACGTTCAATTCAATGATTCTGTGAACGGGGTGGTCGGAATCATTTTCAAATGATACGAATAGAGAAGACAAAAGTTAATGACCGACAAATCGCAGTGTTTACGAATGAGATGTGATGCAAGGCAGGGTAAATTAACGGCATATTGTTATTTATACAAGATCAGATCAGGAGTTTCTCAAATTTGATGTATACAACACCGTAATTTGAATTTATATACATATTTTTCTATAAATCACCGTAAATTAAATTTATATATTTATTCAGTAATTACGTCCGTTTAATGCGAAAATATTATGTGTACGCTTTACAAGCATACCCATATTCATCTTCCTTCATCAGTCCATATATAACAGAGTTATGAGCACAGTTAACTTTATTCTCTAGAAATATGGTTTCCCCCCGTGAAAGTCATATATTTTCGTGCCCAGGGAGACGAGTCCTACTTGTAGGAAAAATTTCAACAAAATCCAAAATGAGACCCTAGATGTGCTGCTATTTTGCCATGACCAATATCTCATGTCAAAAGTAAATAATTTATGTTATGCCATGTTCTGACGGGCATCCGAACAACGTAGTTCGCTCTCAGAATTAGGTACATGAATTAACCCGTTCATACAACACTATTCATAATTCATATCATCAGAGTTTTTTATTTCAAACTTTTTGTTTCTTGTTTTACACCAAAAATGTAACATATTTTAGTGAATTACATTGGGATCTAAATAGAGAAAATAATTCTCTTTCTCCTGACTATAGTATGAACCCATATCTATTTACTTTTCATTCATGTTTTCCATTTTTTCTGAAAATGTTGTTGTTTTTAATACATTTTTATATTTTCTCAATTCAAATGTCACATACTGTCACAAATAAAAATTTGGAGAATTTTTTGTTTGAGTTGCCCCACATTTGTTTCTTGTTTTGTACGCTAATTAGAACCAAGGGAAAAGAAATGCATATTGCATTATGTAGAAAACAAAATTTACATCCTGCTGCATATATAAAAACTATACAATTTTTTACTTTTCATTCATGATTTTCAATTTTACTGAAAAAGTTTGAAAATTTCATAAATATTTTCAAACTGTCAAAATTAATTTATTTTCGATAAATACTCTCAATTGTTAGGGATGGGACAAATTTATTGGTTATTCAGAGAGTGATTCGAATTGAACAACGTACAAAAGTCGGTGTTCGCTCAGACAATTTTGTATGGGGAACTAAGTAATTCCTTCATAATTAAGGGTCGAACAACGAATGAGAGAGCGAACAACGCTCGTCTGTACATGGTATTAATTTAATCGTGTGAAAACGTAAACTCAAATTCGTCAATGACATATTTTTAAGGTTTCAGTTTGATCGGTGCAATGGACCCTACTCAATTTGTTATTGTGATTTGAATTTGCCATTACCTACAAATCACAATAGTGCATTTTGACATTCGATGGAAATATATCGATTTACGACTAGTCGATTAGTCGACACTCAACATTGACATCCCTACGTTCGACCAATTCCGTGTGACGTGTAAAATTTCATTGACTGTAAATTTTCATTGATTTAGATAAAAAATAACTATAAATTGTTAACTGATTGGATTGATATTATCATCGCAAGGTGTCTAAATTAAAAATGGGCTCATTCCGCAGAGAAAAAGAAGATGAAGAAGAGGGTAAGTGAATAGAAAAACAATGACTGGTCGATAGCTTATCTGGGTAAGCAAATACCGCTGCCAATCAAATTCAGCTTTGCCCAATTCCAACTCATTTTTTTACTTTGATATGCCACTGGCTGAATGGCTGACTATTTGTGAATTACTTCATAAATTGTTGTTGGTGTCATATGTCAAAATCTAAAAAAAAGAAAAAATAAGAGTGGACAATTATTACCGAACATGAGCTTTTTCAAGACAAATCATCAAAATTCTTCCACAGGACCCACCAACATTTACCAAAATTTGGAGAAGACATCCGTGCTGCAGGAAACACGAGCCTTTAACGACACACCGGTGAATCCCCGAAAATGCATCCACATCTTGACCAAAATACTATACCTGATCAATCAGGGAGAACAGCTGGGTACCCGCGAAGCAACCGACTGCTTCTTTGCCATGACCAAACTATTCCAATCTAAGGATGTGGTCTTGCGCCGCATGGTTTATTTGGGTATTAAGGAGTTGTCTTCGATTGCCGAGGATGTCATTATTGTTACCAGCTCCTTGACCAAAGATATGACCGGCAAGGAGGATTTATACCGTGCCGCTGCCATACGTGCTCTCTGCAGCATTACTGACAATACAATGCTCCAAGCCGTGGAACGTTACATGAAACAATGTATTGTCGATAAGAACGCTGCCGTTTCCTGTGCAGCTTTGGTCAGTTCATTGAGATTGGCCGGTACTGCCGGTGACGTGGTTAAACGCTGGGCCAACGAAGCACAAGAAGCCCTCAACAGTGATAATATAATGGTGCAATACCATGCTTTGGGTTTGCTATATCATATCCGAAAATCGGATCGCTTGGCCGTAACCAAATTGGTTAATAAGTTGACACGTAACTCCATGAAGAGTCCATACGCTGTTTGTATGTTGGTAAGTTGTTGTTGTAGACATGTTTGAAAGAAGCGATAATTTTGGATAAATAAATTATGGTATGAAGTAACATTTTTCTCTCTTTTTCAAGATTCGCATTGCCTGTAAACTCATCGAAGAGGAGGATATCTCTGCCGATGAGATGTCTGAATCTCCAATGTTCACCTTTATTGAATCTTGTTTGCGCCATAAGAGCGAAATGGTTATTTACGAAGCTGCCCATGCCATTGTCAACTTGAAGAATACCAATGCACGTGTCTTGTCGCCAGCATTCTCCATTCTACAATTGTTCTGCAGCTCTCCCAAAGCCACATTGCGTTTTGCTGCTGTTCGCACTTTAAATAAAGTTGCCATGACTCACCCTGCTGCTGTCACCACATGCAATTTAGATTTGGAAGGACTTATTGCTGACTCAAATCGCTCAGTGGCCACCCTTGCCATTACAACACTGTTGAAGACCGGTGCCGAATCATCAGTCGAACGTTTGATGAAACAAATTTCTTCCTTTGTTGCTGAAATTTCCGATGAATTTAAGGTTGTCGTAGTACAGGCCATTTGTTCGCTATGCACAAAATATCCTCGCAAACATACCGTCCTAATGAACTTCCTCAGCGGAATGTTGCGTGAAGAAGGTGGTTTGGAATACAAAACCTCCATAGTGGACACCATCATAACAATTATCGAGGAGAATGCTGAGGCCAAGGAATCTGGTTTGTCGCATTTGTGCGAATTCATTGAAGATTGTGAACACGTTTCGTTGGCCGTGCGTATATTGCATCTTTTGGGCAAGGAGGGACCTTTCGCCAATCAACCATCCAAGTACATTCGTTTCATCTATAATCGTGTCATTTTGGAAAGTCCTATTGTGAGGGCCGCTGCTGTCACCGCTTTGGCACAATTTGGCGCCTCATGTCCCGCCTTGTTGGGTAACATACTTGTACTATTGGGTCGTTGTCAAATGGATCCTGATGATGAAGTGCGTGATCGTGCCACCTACTACTTGCATATTTTGCAAACCGAAAAACCCGAATTGTATAAACACTATATCATTGAACGTGAAACCTGTTCATTGGCATTGCTTGAGAAGGCATTGGTTGAACATTTGAATGGTGACTGTAATACCGGTTTTGATCTGTCTATTGTGCCTAAAGCTGCTATTGTCAAGGAGGACATCAAAGATGAAGCTATGTTGGTTACCAATGGTAAGGAAATGGAATTTGAAATATGATATTTACAATAATCTATGTAATCAATTTGTAGCTCCAAGGGCTCCTAAAATTACACGCGAAGAGGAAAGTGCTGCCCGTTTGGCACAATTGCCAGGTATTCATGCTTTGGGTCCCATACATCGTACTGCACCTGCTATACAACTTACGGAGAGTGAAACTGAATATACCGTTTCGTGTATTAAACATATTTTCCCCAATCATGTGGTGTTCCAGGTATTAATTGAATTTACAATAGTAGATATTTTCTCTCGCAGACAATAACATAAATCTCCGTCTTGTTTTAGTTCGACTGTCTCAATACTTTGGCCGATCAATTTTTGGAAAATGTACGCGTGGAACTGACAATACCCGATGGTTTTATAACTCGTGCAGTTATACCCTGTCCCAAACTACCATACAACGAATTACAAACAACATTTGTTATTGTTGAGTTCCCTCAAGATGTTGGCAGCTCTACAGGTGAGTTAGAAGACTTCATTGGCATACAATATACATTGTGTATGTAATTTTAAATTTATTTATTTTTTGTGCAGCTACGTTTGGAGCTACTTTGAGATTTGTGGTCAAAGATTGTGATCCCAATACCGGAGAACCAGATTCTGAAGATGGTTATGATGATGAATATATGCTGGAAGATATGGAAATTACACTTGCTGATCAAATACAAAAGACCAAAAAGAGTAATTTCCAGGCTGTGTGGGATGCAGCCGATACAGAAGGTAAATATTTTTTTACTCTTGGTATTTATGAGAAATTTATAAAATTATTTGTTTATTTTTATTTCTAGAATGGGTTGAAGCTGAAGATACATATTCCTTATCAGCTGTTAGCACACTACAAGAAGCAGTTAATACAATAATAAAATTCTTAGGTTTAGGACCCGCCAATCTCTCCGAAAAAGTACCAGAAGGTGTGGCAACGCACACATTACTTTGTTCTGGTTGGTTATTGAAAATTTTATTTAAGTGAATTGTTAATGAAAATCGTGTTTTTTTTTTTTTCTTATAGGTACATTTAGAGGTGGTGCCGAGATTCTAGTACGAGCCAAACTGGCCTTAGCTGATGGCGTTACCATGCAGTTAACTGTTCGCACCACTTACCCAGAAGTGGCTGAGTTAGTTACAGCTGCCATAGGATAAAAGTATCCTGACCAACTTCACTCCCCAGGAAGTTTTTCACAATTAACATATACAATATTTTGATGAATGAGCAGACAATGAATGGATTGAAGAAATATTGCAAATAATTAAGAAGTATTTTCTATTGAAGATGAAAAAAGCGACATTACAAGTTTACAAAGTGCACTATTATATAAGCATTACCATTAACTATTATCGATATAATGCATTGCGTTGTTATTCCGAATACCGAATGTAATTCGTTTTCATTTTTTTTTTTTGTGTCGATTGAAGAAGGAAAGGAAAAAACAAACGAGATAAACTAACATAACTCTAAACATTCATTCTTATATGTATTCCTGCAAAATTATAAATTTTTATATATATATATATACATACATATATACCATTATTTAAAATGTGTATGTGTGTGTTTTTTTTATTTAATTCCCATTGTGTTTACTCTTTTATGTTTGTGTAAAATGATATCTGATACATTTATAAATTAGGCATTTAGAAGAATTAAGATAATATACATTACAAATAAATTGAAAACAAAAGCAAAAAAATTAAAACAGCTCTGAGAAGAAAAACACACAAACAGAAACCAAATATCAACATTTTCATTTTTAATTGTATACAGTGGATTGCATTGTCATTGACACTGACAGGCAGACAGACATGGTGGGTATGCCAAACATTTGGCGAGCCATTTAATCTGCTGTTAATTTATTTTTCAACATATTTTGTGGCATGTCCCTTTGAAAATATAACATCTGTGAGATGCACACACACAAGTTGAGGAGAAATTGAGGCTAATACTCCGATTGGTTTTTGTTTGTAATAGTGACATTATTATCTTATATAACCGAATCATTGGGTATTAATATATTTTAAGCAATGTTTAATTTATCTCCAATTTTGGCTTTACCACCGATGGATGGCAATTTTAAAATATAACTTTAACGGTATTGAAATGTTTATAGGTTTCATAAAAATTGATTGATAGAATAGTTTGTTTCTAAATTGCTTATCTACTGATTTCAATAAAAAACTAATGAATGGAACCCTAAAAGTAAATTCTAATATTCGGATACATTCATCACTAGCCTATGTGTTCATACATTCTTCTTGCACTTCAAAAAAGTGGAGAAAAACAATTCGTAAAAAACAGACGCACACCCACCCACCTACATAAATAAGTCAGACATTTCGCCTAGAGAGAAATACAGTTGACTGTCGCCGTTGTTATTGTTGGTTCTCATCTTATGAACGCATCTCATTTTTTTTTTTTTTTTGAGTTCATTTGGGCAAAAGTGTTTGCTTCTGGCATATTGCCCATTTGTTGTTCAAGAAATGGAAGCACAAAATATGGATGAGTAATACTTGATGTTTAGATCAATGATCACATATAAACATCATCTGTTGTCGCTGCAACAAATCGAAAGAGAAAAAAATCAGTACACGACAAACTTTTGCTGCATTTCAATTCGTTTAAATATTTAATTAATTTAATATTTCGTGCACATCTGTAAATATTTAATAAGTATGCAAAATTGTTGAAACATACGTATTAAATATTTTAAAATATTTCATCCTTAATTGACAAAAGCAACAAATAATCCATATGGTGCATCGCTCACACTACACCAACGCAAATTTAAGACAATTTTCATGTCATTTGGAAGTGGAACTAATTGATAACAAAATATCAGCAATAACAAATTTCGTGATATTAAGGATCCACATTACCTATGTCTGAAATAACATGGCGACATTACTAAAAATAGGACAGCAAAATATGAATTTAAAATTATTTATTAAAACCCTTCACTAGTAACATACTCCAAATAGTCACTTTACAAACAAACGGGAAGTATTCTGATCATATGTGTTTTCAAAAAAAAAAAAAATAAATAAATAAAAATAATGTGCACTCTGCATAGTTCAATATTAATCATCATATTCATCTCTGTTCTTTTTACAAACAAATTCTCTGCCGAATGGCAAAAACAGACGCACACTCACACCATCCGACCACTCGGATATGTCTTCAATGTTACGATACAAACACGAAAGCTCTTATAATTCAGAGCATATGGATGGGTGGATGGAAAATTTGTTGTTTTTTTTATTTTATGAACAAATTTTCAATTTAGTTCGCTGTTCAAACTCTTATGGAAAACTCATTGAATATAACGATGCTCGGTCGCGTGTGCTGAAAAATTAATTGAACAAATAAATATACATATATATAAAATTTTGAATACATAAGATCACCACATGATTTGTTAAATAAATATTGATAATTTGATTTAAAAAATAAGTTCTTTATAAATACAAAAGGATTATTATTATGTTCAAGACATCGCAGGAAATTCGTTTGAATACGACTGGAGCTAATTACCGTAATAGTGGCGAAAATGTTTCCGGTTTTGGGAAATATCACAAAACACCGGATATGGGTAAGTAAGAATAATAAGGGCATTAGTTTGAAATTTCAATTGATATTACCACTTCCGATGATGTTAAAAAAACTTGCATTTATTATACATATTTTAGCCTGTAATACCTCAATATAGTTATACCAGACCCATATATATATATATATATATATATATAGCTTGAAATAATTAAAAATGGTCAAAATAACATTTTCGATTTATTGAGATGTACCTGCTTTGTTGTTCTTGTTGTAGCAACTGAAATACAACATAGGAACATTGTTATCCATTGGCCTGTTCTGATTTCTCTAATTGAAGGTGTGTGAGTAGGATTAGCTGCCCCGATGAACGTGGCAGGTTCCCTAATCCAAGAACCTGCCCCGTTCATCGGTCAATACATCTGCTGGAAATTTTGGTTTACTTCGGGTATTCGTACAGCAGTCGTATATCGAACGATACCGCTAGAGTTGACTTTACACATGTTTTCCCGAGGATCTGCGGATGGACAGCCTTATCGGTAATAGGATAACTTTATGAGATCTTGCCAAAAAAAACCTTTCCTATGCTTCAAGAAAGTACGGCGCTTAAATGCTGGTCTGAAGCATAGGAAATTATATTTTAATTTTAATTTATTTATTGATTAAGTTTGGAGAAGACGTAAAGTAGTTATGTCTCTACAAAGTTTCAAATCTGATATTTGTACCGAAAAATCGCTGTATTTTTCTGATGTTCAGATATTTGAATATTTTAATTAAAGGTTATTTTGGTTGCTGTGGATGTTAAAAACTGGGATTCGCTGTTGTTTGTATGTATATAGACATCATATCGCTCACTAGCTGCAAGACAGGCATAACTCAAAAAAAATTTGCAGAAAATGCGTTTTAAATTTTCAATTTACTCACACTTTATATGGGACAGAGGAACATCTACAGCTTCTCAATTAGAGTGTGTAAGAGATATTCATGTGAATTTTTTACACAACATGAGGTCTATTATAGGGAACAATCGTGCATCCTTTTACTTTTTTGGTGACCACCTTCATAAAAAATATAACATATTCAAAAAATGGTTATAGGTTAAGGATCGAATATGTTATGTCTGCCATTAAAGAAATTAATAGGGGTCAAATAGGAAGGAGAACGACGGTTTATTTGGCACAACTTTAGGAAAATTATAATCTAAATTTATTTGACACACACGTATTATCTTTGTGAAAAGTTCATACAGAAATGTTTTAGTTCATACCAGGGATATGTAAAGTGCAGCACAATACCATTGCAGTGACTTTCACAAGACGCTATCAAGTCATGCTACAAAATAATTAGGAGCAACCCGAACATTAGGTAGGGCCGTGTCCAATGTGGATTTAAATCAGTAATTTATATTACCATCCGACCCATTTGTATCCTTGAACATCTATAACATATAGGCCCGAAATTATAACATAGATGTTCATTGATGGATCGTACATTTGGGAAGACAATAGTTATGTTTGTTTACTCGATATTTGGTAACCAATAATAAGCTGCAAAATGTCATCCACTTTCGATACCTCCTTCCATATTTGGCCACTGTTAATATGAACTGTGTCCGCCAGTTGAAGTATCAATTTGACTCGCAGGAAGGAACTACCACATCAACAAATATAAGTGCGTTCATTCTCGGTTGTATTTGTTGTGCCCTTTGCAGGTTGGTTCTGGATTAATCTACACGTTGATAAAGCAGCGACTTCCGCTGGCCTTCAACCACAGATTTTCTGCAGTGTTTTTCCGGCTTGGTGGTACATTAAATCTTGGGCAGACACTCTGGGCAACTGGTCAGACATGAATTGTCGTGAATCCGCTCCAATAAGACGACTGCGCCATGCTGAACGTAATTTAGACAAGGATAGGTTAGGTTAACGAAAATTCAGCCAGCAGTTGTTTAGCAGCATTTTTAACTTGGAGACATTTTGTCTATTGTACTCTTCCCAAGTACCAGAAATTGAGCAAATAAAAAAGAGCGGAAAAAGGAAGGATAGATGAAGGTGCTAGAGAAAGAAGTTAGACATTTAGTTTAGCCATGTAAAAGGTTTAATAATGCTACACTTGCCCTATACCTAGTGTATCAATTTCAAATCTATATTGTTCAAGATCGTCCTCACACTCACATAAACGGCTATAATCCATTGATGTTCTATTTGGATGTGAGATATGTAATTCTGCAGGGACCTGTTATGATCCATACAGCAAATTTGATCTCCAATTTCCTCTGTGATAGCAACGAAGTTCCACTACGTAGACCTACTTCGTTGCTCCGAACATATAGTCATTGAAATTCTGCATCCTCAGGCCATCCCATAGTAGTTTTTAAATGATGGTGGTCGTACAGATCCCTCATGTAGTAGAACGGACAATTGTGTATTTCACTATGTCCTGGAACTCAACAAATATTAACGTCTTGTCGTAAGTCGTGCAGAGTAACATTACAATCATAAGTTGCATTTATTGCACGCGACTTGATGGCAAAATGCCACCTGGCTATCGACATATATAGTCACCGGTCCTAGATTGTTTGCAGTTAGTTCTGTAACTGAAATACGCTACAAATATTGTAAAGTTGATATATATTCCTAGCTGCAAACGCCTGCAGCAGTATCTCTCCCGCCATGGACTCGTCTGTACATGCACATATATTCCATTTGAAAATACTAAATCGAATCCTGCAGAGATCGGTTATGATACCAAAAGATCAGTGGTTTTATATAGAGTTTAATTTTATTTAAATTAAACCTTGTATCACTTTCAATATGCACGCTACTAAAAAGTGAAACCTGATAATAGTTACAGAGTTTTAAGACCAGAATTATTCAAAGAGTCTCAATTCTATTTAATACTACATATGGATTTAGGATTCTGCATCCACAAAGCAAACCATAGAATTAAAATGTTCATTGAAGGCATCTTAGTCACTTTCTTATACTGGCATCATGGTAAGATGTTCTTACGGTTGTGATGTTGATTGGATAAGATTTCGTTTATTATCCCATTGCAGACTATTACATATTATTATTTATTTTGGATTTTCGTTTCGGGGTAGGCCACATATAACGGTATTATTCGGTATTTTAGGCACGTTTTTCGAATTGGGTATAATTCTATATTGTAGATTTTCATTGAATGCCAAATCTTCCTACCAAAAATACGCCATGATATAGACCCAATATAAAAGTTTCGATCGATTTTAGGTATTTTGAATGTCCACATCATGGTGGAGGGTATAGGAAGTTCGTCTTGTACTTAACTTAACGACTTTTTATTATATGCGGATATATTCTGTGCCAGAAAGGATACACTTTTAATATTTCTCATAAACGTTATATCCGTTATATGTCGGTAGGCTACCATTCCATATCCTTTTTTATTAAATCCATAATTCAATTTAATGAAATATTTATATATTGTTAATATTTGTTTTTGCATTTCAGATAAGTATTCCACGCAACCGGCACAAATATTTGTTGCACCCGAACTAACAGACCCAAGTCTTGTACAATTACTACATTTTCCCAATGGAGCTTTACGCGTCAACAATAACGTAAATTTCGTAATTAAACGAAATGGTGTCAAGGGTAATTTCGAGGTTAAGGTTTGTAGTTCACTAACTAGTATATTTAAATACTATACGCATTAAAATACCCTTTCTTAATTTGACAGCTTGAACATCCTTCGGGACATCAAATGTTTGTGCCATTAAAAATCATTGATCCCGAAAGATTTGAAGTAGCTTTCAAGTTAGTTGAAGCGGGTCTATATAAAGTTCATATCAAATGTAATTCAGTAACATTACCGAAATCGCCATTCATAATTGTGGCTATAAGTGGATTTGATTTGGATTCGAAACCAAAAATGGAATGTAAGTATTGATAAATTAAAAAAGATTTCTGTTTATAGATGTCGACGAGCGTTTTAGATGTATTTGAAAACACTTCAATTGTAATTCAATGAATTCTTGCAATTTATTCTTTTTTAATTTGAAACAATATTTAGATTAAAAAAATATTGGAATTTAGATTTTAATATATAATAAGTTTTAAAAATTGCTTATTGTTTAATCAAATTAATTTGTAATTTAAAATATGTTAATAAGAATTCAATAACTTTAAAAATCAGTTTCTAATTTTTGTATTCTTAATTTGAATCGAAATCATTCAAATTAGAAATAAAAATTGAAAAAAAGTATTCACATTTCGCTTGCGACAATTCGAATGTTTAAATGTACATGTTAAATATTTTAAACTACAACTAAAATGTTTTGAAGATCGTGTAAAAATGTGTGAGTTAGAATAAGTTAGAATATCAACTAAAACAATTATCTAGAGATTACAAAATATATCTCCAATTTCCGCCATATTTAGTAATAATAATCCTCTAACCGTTAAAGTAATTATTGTTTATTTGTTTTTTTTTCAGTGCCTGTCTTCAAATCGGACGCATCAAAGGTAACTTATCGTGGTCTTGGTTTGAGTCATATCGTTCTAAATGAGAAGAATGAATTTATTATCGACGGCTCTGCAGCTGGAAATAATATTCTATTTGTGGGTATATTTGGCCCCAAAGGACAATGCGATGAAGTTGTTGTCAAACATATGGGCAAGAATATCTACAAAGTTACCTATCAAGTCGACGATCCTGGAGATTATCTGTTGGCGGCAAAATGGGGCGATGACCATATACCCGGTTCGCCATTCTCATTAAGTACCAATTAAATGCCATACATAAATAAGATGTAGTTTTAAATATTAGTTATAGTTACATAATTCATAGAATAAATATTTAAATAAAACAAATTTTAATTGTTAGCAAAAAAAAACAAGATTTGCAACGGTGAAGATTATGCGATCATATACGTATACAGCTATACCTGCAATATGTCGATGCCCGACATGTGAAGAACATACGCGGTCATTGGTATCAAAATAAAAGAAAAAATCATATTGAAATTCATTCGATTTTCCACGCATATTACACAGTTGGTCTGTTCCAGTACTTTTTTAATAGTAAATCTAGTAAAAGGGAAACATTTCAAAATTGCTCTCAGAGTACAAAATAATTTGAAAAGTTCGGGAACGCAAATCTAGTAAATATGCCAAAATTAGATGGCAATATTTCAAAATCAACATAAAAGCCAATCAGAAGTAGGCATTTCTGTTTAACATTTTTACTCGACCAAATTTCTCGAGTAAAAAGTTTACAAAGAGAACGCCATTTTGTTTTGTGCTCTCTTAAATTTGAGTCAATGTTTTACCAGTTTTGTGGGTTTTGTGGAACTAGTATTACATTTGACTGAAGTTTACAGCCAAATACTTCTCCGAAATCATACTTATTCGAATTTACTGGTTCTAAGCTCTTAACATTTCTAGCCGAATTTTCTAACTTTACAAACCGGGTGCTATTCTTCTATGAGTACCTCTTTATATCCTGCACCATAATATTGAGTGTGTATATTCAATTTGTAACAACTCGAAATATTCACCAGATACCTCAAAAAGGATAAATCTTTCACTTGCTGTAAGACCGTCATAAGTCAACAATTGTGATTTTTGAGTTAATGGTGAATAATATTTTGTCATATAAGACTTCATGTTGTGTAAAAAAAATAGATGAATATCTTTTTCACACACTGATTGATAAGCTGTAGAAGTTCCTCTGTTCCTTGCAAGGTGTGAGACAATTGATTTATGCGAGCGTATGATTTATCCATTTAAACATTATCATAAATACATACTTACATAGCTGGCTGACAGAACATCGGTTTTGTGCGCAGCTCCTCCAATTTGAAAGACCATGTTCTGAAATGTCCTCTTTCACATTAAGTTTCCCTCTAATTCGTGGTTTTTATGGGTGAACTCGCTCACTATTTCAACGGGTGATGAAAATATATACCCCAGGTGACACGGAATGGAAGTCAGTGTAAACAATTGAGATGAAAGAGGGACCAAGATAAGCCTGGGTTTTGCCATGTTGAAGCCAATCAGAGCCGTTGCTTGGTATCTATCATCCCCTACGCCACCCTAATTATCTCGTTAGCTATACAAAATATTTTTTGTCTTTATAGACGAATTAATAAAAAATTAAAATATTAAAATACGTTTTAATAGAGATGCTCAGAATATATTGTATATATACACCTAAGTCTGTTTTTACACGGTAGATTGGTTCCAGAAGAAGCCGTGTAAAAAGGGAATTTCCTTAAATTAGTGCTATTCACATTTGATTTGACCAGTAAAAATTGTTTGTACACGCTAAAGGGGAATTCACATAAATAAGCTAGTGTTCGCAAACTATCGATGGTTTCAGACTTTTTTTTCATAAATACTTTTTTGTGATATGAACATACATCGCAAAAATTTAATTTGACAAAAAAATTTAAGTACATAAAATTTCAAATCGTGCTAAATGGAATAAAATCGTGTAAAAAAAAATAAAAATACTCAGCTTTTTTAAAAAAAACTTTTAATTTTCACGCCGTGTTATATCAAAACCGTGTAAAAACAGACTTAGGTGTGTATTTAATAAATTGCATAGAAAGCCATTGTCGTTGAAAATGACAAACAAAAACTATTTTGTCGAATTAATATTATCGTAGCAATGACGTCGTTGTTGTTTCATTTTTTGTCATTGCTGAGTATCATCAACATCAGCAGGAACATTAACCAGCAATGCCAGAGAATCATCATCATCAACGACAACAACAACAACGCTAATAATAACAGCGACAAGCAAAGACGATGTAAGAAACTACAGGAGCAGCAATGGCCATCATCACCGCAAAAATTGAAAATGGGATGATGGCAGTTGGGTGGATAGATAGCTGCTATGAAAAAAAAAAAGAAAAACATCAGCACTTCTTAACTGGGTAACCCCGGCCATTCGCATCTAATCACACATCGACGCTTGTTCGCAGCTCCGAACACTCACAAATGACTTAACATTTCCCGCTCTTTTTGTTTTGCTTCAGTCATTCTTATATTTAATGATGATTACCTTAGACATTATCGTTTTTTCTGTGGCGCATTTTTTTCGAGTGTCATTCATTGCCGTTCGTATGGCTGTTGGCTCCTTTATTTGGTCTAATGTTCATTTTATGCCATGTGTCGCGTTCAATCCACACAACAGGCTGGCTAAATCGCGAGTCATCATGTTGACTGTTCCCATCTACCATCCACCGTAACGACGCACGCAATTCATTCAGTCAACATAATGATGATGACCTGCAATGTTTTGGATTCTTTTTTTATCACAACAACAACAATTGTCTACTGTCCTGAAAATGGCAGAGTATAGTGCAATTGGATTTTTTTATACTGGTGACTGCTGTGATATGTGGAATTAATGAATATAAACTAAAATTTGAAAATCCTGTTCAATGATATCTGTGATACTATTGCGGATCGAAGTCATATGACATATGTCCGGTTTCAAACAGGCCTCATGTGCTCAACATTTATAGTACTAATAATCGTCAGTATAACGGGGCATTTCAATACTCACCATCACCATCAATTGTATTCCGTCCTAGGTGATGACTGGATAGCATAGGTGCCCAAAATTAAAATGCGTTAGTATGTGTGAGAGAAAACAGAACAGTACTGAACAAAATTGTGTGTACATTTTGGTGGTCGGAAAAAATTATTGATGAATTTAATTTTTGTTATTTTATAAATTAAAAGCATTATTAAAAATGTTTTTATATGAATTACAAATTGTATATGTCACAAAAATCAAATAAAGTTTATAAAGTACCATATACCGAGATAATAATCATATTATAATATTAAATATTACGATAATTATCAAATATTTAATTATTAAAAAACAGCAATCCTGTTGTTTTTAAAATTGTTTAAACATACAAAACGAATTTTAAATAATAAAATAAAAAATATAGACTTTAAAACCGTAAATAACAATGCGTGTGAGTAGGCAGCTACTTTAAAGTATACTGATGGGCACCTATGCTGGATAGGCATAGCATTGACAGAGCAAGTCTATTTTCCAGGTTTTGCACGATGAATAAAGACGACTAAATCAGAATCCATTTGAAAGAATGGTTAAATAGAGTTTGGTCCATTTCAAAAGACTTTAAAACCGTAAATCATGCCACAATGTTGATCGCCACCTCTTAAGTCGGAATTCAAGACATCTCCACTGTCCCCATAAATTAAACCGTCTCATTTGTAGAACGCTGACCTCTATCAAAAGCAATTAACACCGTAACAAAATGTTGGGCGCCACGTCTTAATTCGGAATGCGAGACAACTCCACTGTTAGCTATCATGAGCATTTAACATGGTAAATCGTGCCAAAATGTTGGGCGCAACTTCTAAAGACGACCTTTGAGCTCGCCATGAGCTCTGACATTCCATCATAGCTAATGGCTCCGAGACCAAATACAGTCTTGGGGAGCATGTTGATACGTTCGCGTTCGTCAACAGAGGACAAGTTCTAGGAGATGAAGGAACTTAATGTTGAAGTCAAAAGGTTAGTTAGTAACTGGAACATCTTAAGCACTGTTATGTGGGTACCGGAGCAAGGAAATTACTAGCAATGCCACGTCTTAATTCGGAATGCGAGACAACTCCTCTGTTAGCTATCATGAGCATTTAACATGGTAAATCGTGCCAAAATGTTGGGCGCAACTTCTAAAGACGACCTTTGAGCTCGCCATGAGCTCTGACATTCCATCATAGCTAATGGCTCCGAGACCAAATACAGTCTTGGGGAGCATGTTGATACGTTCGCGTTCGTCAACAGAGGACAAGTTCTAGGAGATGAAGGAACTTAATGTAGAAGTCAAAAGGTTAGTTAGTAACTGGAACATCTTAAGCACTGTTATGTGGGTACCGGAGCAAGGAAATTACTAGCAATGTATTCGTCTCTCTCAAATTTTGGAAGGATAGATTACAGAACAGATGTCTCACACACCTTCAAAATATGCTGGATGGCCTCAGCATCTGAATCCTCCAGAACAGTCAAACATCTTATATATTTTAGTTTGCTACAAACACAATAAATATCATCGAATAAATAAAATTGTTTTAAGAAATACCTACATATACATTCGAGCCACTCTAATACACCTCTTATAAATTTAGCGATCTTCTACATAAAATAATGACTACATACTTCAATGATGAATTGTCTGTAATGATGATAACCAATGGATACGTAATTTTATTTCAAACAAAACTAGTAATCACACAAAGACATTCAGAAATCAAAATAGGCTTATGCAGAGAATAGCGTCAAAAGGAAACCATTTTAATTATTATAAATTTTCAAAGTTATATATATTACTAGATAAGAATAAGGGAATGTGCGTTTCATGTGTGTATTAAAAGAATTAGGCCTGCATATTTTCTTTGGCTGAAATTATACAAATAGTCAAATTTCTGAATAATCTCCATCATATACAGAGATACCGCCCCATTTTTTCTATTTTAAAGGTTTATTCACATTTTTCATTCAAAAGTGGCTCGCAGGAAATTTCCACACCTTTACCCGTGTGGCTATAATTTGTTACTATTTCGTTGTTGTTATAGCAGCTTGTACTGCTGGTATTTCTCCTTACTCTGGTTTGGCTTCTATCTCTAAGTTCAAAAAGTCTACGACCTATATCGGTTGTGTCCAAAGTGATGATGGGATTAGATGAGTGGGGTTGGCTGGGCAGTTTAAAAGGTGTAGCGTGTCTTGTGGACCATTACCACATGCCGCGCCGTTAATTCGTACGCAATATGGATTGAGGCGGCTAC